TTTTTTTTTTAGTAGAGATGGGGTTTTACTATGTTGGCCAGGCTGGTCTCGAACTCCTGACCTTGTGATCTGTCTGCCTTGGCCTCATAAAGTGCTGGAATTACAGGCATGAGCCCTCCCATTCTATTCAAAGTCACCGCTCTGCTCACTGAGATAAATGTGAATCTGGCTGCCTCCTTTGGAAAGGCTAATCAGAAACTCAAAAGAATGCAATCATTTGTGTCTCACCTATCTGTGACCTGGAAACCCCGCCCTGCTTCCAGTCTTCCTGCCTTTGCTTCAAGTTTTCCTGCCTTTCCAGACTGAACCAGTGTACTTCTTACACATATTGATTGATGTCTCGTGTCTCCCTAAAATGTGTAAGACCAAGTTGTGCACCGACTGCCTCGGGCACATGTTGTCAGGACGTCCTGAGGCTGTTTGACCTGTGCGTCCTCAACCTTGGCAAAATAAATGTTCTAAATTAACTAAGACGTGTGTCAGATGGTCTGGGTTCACTATGGCTCATTTCTTTCTATGCTGGATAATATTCCATTCTCTGGATGTATCACAGTTTGTTCATTCACGTACCACAGGACATCCTGGCTGTTTCCAAGGTTTGGCAATTATGAAAAAAGGCTGGGTGTGGTGGCTCACACCTGTAATCCCAGCACTTTGGGAGGTAAGGGCAGGTGGATCACCACAGGTCAGGAGTTTGAAATCACCCTGGCCATCATGGCCAAACTCTGTCTCTACTAAAAATACAAAAAATTAGCTGGGTGTGGTGTCACACACCTGTAGTCCCACTACTCAGTAGGCTGAGGCAGGAGAATTGCTTGAACCTGGAAGGCAGAGGCTGCAGTGAGCTGAGATCTCACCACTGTACTCTAGCCTGGGCAACGGAGTAAGACTCTGTCTCAAAAAAAATTATGAATAAAGGTGATATAAGCATCTGTGTGCAGATATTGTGTGGACTTAAGTTTTCAACTTCTTTGGGTAAATACCAAAGAGCTCAACTGCTAGATCATATGGTATGAGTATGTTTAGCTTTATAAGAAAATGCCCAACTGTCTTCCAAAGTGGCTGTACTGGCCAGGTGTGGTGGCTCTAACCCCAGCACAGTGGGAGGCTGAGATGGGAGAATTGCTTGAACCCAGGAGTTTGAAACCAGCCTGGGCAACATAGCAAGACCCCACTTCAACAACAACAACAAAATTAAGTGGGTGTGGTGGTGTGCATCTGTGGTCCTAGCTACTTGGGAGGCTGAGTTGGGATGACCGCTGGAGCCCAGGAGTTTGAGGCTGCACTGAGCTATGATCATGCCACTGCACTACAGCCTAAGTGATACAAAAAGACCCTGTCTCAAAAAAA